AAGGACAAAACATGATGGAATAAATTCTCAGCTACAGGAGACCTTCTTGTGCCTCTGGGGCTGCTGGTTTAAACTAACATTCCATTGAAATGTTAGCAAGTTAAAAGATCTAGAAAGAAAGTGTATTTAAGGGGGGGGGGGGGGAAATAACTTTCCTATTACATGCCTAATTTCAATACCCTCCCCACCCCCACAAATATACACACAAAGCCCCAAAAACAAAAATATTTTTTCTAGGATCCATTAATATTCTAATATAGTAACTATTAACTGCTGATTACTAAACATATAACTATTTATGTTGTATCTGTACTCTTTGTCAAATGCATCAAGGCACATTGACCCAAACAGCAAAGCACAGAAATATACAGATCTCTCTTGCTCCTGTCCATCAGCCATCCAGTTTCTACTGCATCTATATCATTAGTATCCAGTACTGCAGCACCATGCAGCAGATGAAGAATTATTTAACATCAGGTATGCTGCTTGTGCAGAAATTTTCTGTATTATATTTCTGTACATGTTACAATTATTGAATGTTAAGGGGACACTGTCAGGTTTAAAAAGCTTGATAATGCACACCTGAATTCTAGAATAAAAGTTTTCCTTATTTTAAAAAATAAAAAGAGATGTTGATTCAGATTTACATGTTTCCATGTAGCTGGATGATAATCTATGAGAGACAGATAGAGAAAATGACATCTATTTTTACTGACAAAACTGAATGAAATGCAGAAATTAAACAATGAAAAATCAATGAAAATATTCCTCCTCTGTTAATAAGCTAATTTATTATTTTTAAAATGGATAAGGACATTTAAGTTTAAAAGTATAATTTATTAATAGTTTTCATATGACTGTCCCTTTTAATGAGTACAAAATTAAAAGTCAGTTGCTGACTTTAAAAGTCAAAGTTAACTATGTAAACTGCTAGTGTACAAGAAATGTTTCTAATAATGATATGCAATTGCAGACATATTAAATCTAGATTGAGTACTGTAAGAACCTTAATTTAAAAGGCACAGCAAAGGGAATATGGACAGTGTTAATCCTCTTTCTATCTTGTACCATAATTTATTCCTTTTCACATTATAAAGCTTCTCCTTCCATTCTTTCATAGGACAAGGAAGTCCTCTCCCCCTCACAGGGTCTATCTTATATTTTATAGTACATGATTTGCTTCAGCCTTTTTCATTCAGAGAAGTTACAACAGCAGGAGGAAACAAAATTAATAAAATAAATTGGCATTCTCTCCACTAGACACACAAATAGAAACCATGAAGCCGATCAACAAAAAGGAACATTTGTAGGTCACAACATGAAATAGGTAATTCTTATTGGGCTGCAGGTTATTTTTCAGTGAAACTGGGGTTTGATGAAAAGAATTAGGTTTCATTTTTATCTGTGGCTTGAAGGAAGAAGAAATCTGATTTCTTCCCTATAGACATCTTGATAAGATTGATCTTTCACCTTCCTCACCCTCTTCCCCATTTCCTCACTGAATCAGGGAGAAATTAATGACACATAAAACACACACACACTCTCTGGGGCTTTCTAAAATAACAGCTTTTTTACCATTCTATACTGCTTCCCCACCCATATGATCCTAAGTTATGCAAAGGCATATCTATGTCCCTGCCCCGATGGTGCGGTCGGGGAAAAAAGTTCCAGTGTGCAGCTTCTGGAACATGCTAGAGTTTCTAAATACACATGTGAGGTGTGCCTTCCCTGACCACCCAACACAGATGTTGATTAACTGGCTCCAGTGGTCCATGATGGCCTGCAGGACCATTGAAAGTATCCCTTCCAGTTGATATAGAGAGATGCCTGGTGGTCAGGGGCCCAGAAGGGGACGTGGGTGCCATCTTTTAACCAGTTATTGATCCTGGAGAAGACCTTTCCTTGTTATCCCAGACTCTTACGCAAACTAAACAATCATAAGTGTGGGATCTTATCAAAAGCTTTCTGAAAGTCCAAATCCACTATATCCACTGGATCATGACTGATGACTCTCTCAAATAATTCTAATAGATCGCTGAAGCATGATTGCCCTTTACAACAGCCAGCTTGATATTTCTTCAACATACCATGTTTATCTATCTGTCTGGCAATTTTGTTCTTTACTAAAATTTCAAACAATTTACTTGGTATTGAAGTTATTGGCCTGTAATTGCCAGGATTGCCTAAGATGTCTTTTAAAAAAAATCATCATTACACTAGTTATCTTCCAGTCATTTGGTTTAGAGGCTGATTTAAGTTATAGGTTACATAGTATAGTTAGTACTTCTGCAATTTCATATCTAATTTTCTTCAGAACTCCCAAGTGAATGCCATCTGGCCCTGGTGGCTTAGCATGACTTAATTATTCAATTTGTTTCAAAACCTCCTCTATGATATATCAGTCTGGAACAGTTACTCAAGTTTGCCTCATAAAAAGAGTGGCTCAGGCAAGGGAATCTTCCTCACATTGTTTTCGGTGAACACCCATGCAAATAATTCAATTAGCTTCTCTACAATGGCCTTTTCTTACCTGAGTGCTCCTTTAACATTCAGGTAAGTTGATCATCCAGTTGCCCCACCGACTGTACAACAGGCTTTCTGTTCCTGATGCACTTAAAATAATTTGCTGTTAGCTTGTGTCTTTTGATAGTTGCTCTTCAAATTCTTTTTTTGGTCTAATTATATTTTTATGCTTGACTTACCAGGGTTTATGCTCCTTTCTATTCTGCAGTATGCTTTGACTTCCAGTTTTTAAAGAATGCCTTTTTGCTTCTAACAGCCTCTTTTACTTATTTATACTTATTGTCATTTTTTGGTCTTTTTTTTTTTTAATTTGGAGTACACACTTAGTTTGATCCTCCACTGTGGTGTTTTTAAATACTTTTCATGTAGCTTGAAGGCACTTCCCTCTTACAACTCTTCCTTTTAACCATTTCTGTCGTTAAGTGGGCTGTGTCTAAAAAAGCTCATGATACCCATGGCTGGCCTTACCGGGGGGTGGGGGGGGGGGGGGGGGGGGGGGGGGGGGGGGGGCACCACTAGGACCTAGAGTGTAGAAGATTGTGTCTGCTGCTGGCGCATATGTATTCTCTCTGCTCTATATGCACAGAGATGGTGGAGTGCTGTGCTGGAGGAAGGGGGACACAAGAGACATAACAGGCAGGCAGAAGAAAAGGTGACATGGGGGCATCATTTGAACTCCCCGCCTCAGGCACCAAAATGTTGTGGGCTGGCCCTGATGATACCATCTACATGTTTTGTTAGTCTATAAAGTGCTACCAGACTATTTGTTGTTTTTTTAAGGTTTTTTCTGTGTAGTTTCCCCTTTTTAAATTAAATCCTACTCTTTTGGGTTTCTTTGATACTTCCCCATTGCAAGGATGTTAAATTCAATTACATAATGATTGCTATTACTGAGATACTCAGCTGTATTCAGTTGGAGCAGATCCACTTACGACTAGATCAAGAATTGCCTCTCCACCCTTGGCTTCCAGGTTTAGCTAGTCTAAGAAGTAGGAAAACCTAAGTTTAGCTGAATTTGCAAAGTGAAGTGACAGAAGTTTTAACTCCATCCCTTAAAAATAAAGATACAAAGAAGAATTGGAGAGACACACAAGAAACTATAGATCTTGACTCAAGCAATTTTACGATAATAGGAAAAAGTAGCCGAGGAAAAATTATTTTAAAGGAGACATTTTACACACCTGAAATGTCACAATCCATAAAGCAAACAGATACAGAGAAGTTCTCAATGTGCCATGTGGAAAAATGGGGTGGATGATGACAAACCAGCATGCAATAAAATCATTACAAAATAAACAGATTTTAGAAGTTAAGAATATCTACTGCTGTCCGCTTCTCTGTAAGGGAGATATTGGGTAGCAAGTCAGAAACTTGTAATAAATGGATTCCAAAACCCAGGGTATGTCTACACTACCCTCCCAGTTCGAACTAGGAGGGTAGTGTAGACATACCCCCACACTCTGCAAAGTAAAATCACTGGGCATTAAAGACTGCCATCCTGAGTCTCTTTGAAGAATGTGAGGACTTAGGGTTTGAGCCCATGAATTGCTCAGTACTCTGATTCCAATACACCTGAGTATGTATTTAACAGAGCAGATTTGAAAAGTCAAAATTTCCCAAATATTATTGCCTTTTCAATTTAAAAAAAATCAAAACTCTGATTTTTGAAAACTTTCAACCTGGAAAATGTTGGCCCATTTTTTTTTACTAAATTTCTGACAAAGTTGTGACATTCTGGGAGTTTTTGATCAGTACTAGTGATTAATTTTAGATATGTGCATTGTTCACTGGTGTCAGTGGGACTACTTGTGTACTTGAAAATAAGGATGTGCTGAAGTATTTTTCTGGATTGCGGTCAAAGTGTTTAGCGTTTAGTAGAATTAGAGCCTTATTTTATATGAACTCAAATTTTATATTTTTAACTTTGTTTCAAAACCAATTTATGTTCAGTGTATTTTAGCTATAGTGAAGTGCTCCTCCCTCCTCCCAGTTGGTGAGCCTGGTGAAGCATGAGGTTGGATATTAGGAAAAACTATTTCACTAGAAGGGTGATGAAGTACTGGAATGGGTTACCTAGGGAGGTGGTGGAATCTCCCTCCCTAGAAGTTTTTAAGTCCTGGCTTTCCAAAGTCCTGGCTGGGATGATTTAATTAGGGTTGGTCTTGCTTTGGGCGGGGTCTGGACTCAATGATCTCCTGAGATCTCTTCTAGACCTGGGATTCTATAATTCTATGATCTTCTTTTTTACAGAATAATTATCCTGATGGCTCAATTTACTACTTTTCCATGATAGTGTAATTCAAAGGGGGAGGGGGGGGTGACCATGTAGCCTTCTCTGGCAACTAGCAGGTTATAGTGTCCTTGTTCCCAGCCTAGTAAACAAGTGGTGTTTTATTGACTCTTTTCCTCCTTTGGTTTCCTTTTCCCTTCAAACAATTCCATGAATTAGAGATCTGAAAATGCATGAAATTACTCACTATGGTACTGCTGAATGCCACTTGAGACCGAAGGCTGTCACAATGCCCCAATGATTTCTTTCTTGAATGTCCCTGAAATCGAGCCCGAGCACTTTGGCACCTTCTCAAGGGCTTATCTGTTTTCTGTTTTAAAGTGTCGGGTTTCTCAATCTTGATAACAGGAAGAGCAAAACGCTGATGTCTTGCCCAGTCTTCCTCATCTGAGTCCAGTTCCTTATAGGTCTCCAGGCGTTTGGCTGGAAGAGAGATACCAAGATCTTGACTAGTCTGTTTTTTTTATTAGAAGTGTGCACAGCTAACTAACAAATACCAAATAATAGCTATCAGATGGCACAGCAGTCTCATAGTTTCAGGTTGTACACTGGTGATCTGTCATAACAATCTGCAAACCATCACCAGAAAAACTTCTATGCACAGTTCAGTTTCTTATCATGCCTCCCACTGAATACAAACCAAACCAACTCAAATGTTAGGAGACTGATTACTTTTTTTGACTTCTTTTAACTAAAGTCTCTTTAGCTGCACTCTTTACAGTTCAATGGAACAGAATGAACTATGGTAATTTACACATTTGGTAATGTTTTCAGTCACAGAGCATGAAAATCTATTTGGCAGCTGTTGGCCAGCTTAATGACATTCTAAATATAATGTAGAGGGGGAGTAGTTATATGCATAATAAGTATTTTGGATCCAATCTTGCATTACCTACAGGAAAAATTCCCACTGAAGAATACAACATGAAAGGGAGTTGCAGTCAAATGGGAATGTTATCTTAGCAAGGGCTACAAGATGAGACTAATAGCATTGTTATCCTTTTTTAACCTTAGTGGCTTGTCAAAGTTTATGTCCCTGAGGGGGCTGCACTTGGGTGTAAGTATTAACAATGAGGTCTGGTGTTTTCTTGGAGGAAACCATATTTATTAAAAGGGAATATATAAAACTCTGAGTCTCCAAATACAGAAGGAATCCCAATGAGACAGATGTTTTGCATGCAGTCCCAAGCATCCTTAGCCAGCACCAACCCATTCTCCAGCTTCTTTCAGGGCCGTAGACTGTGCTTGTCCAAGTTCTCTCAGTAGATCTTGCTTCAGTTTGTTTGTCCCTCTGTACTCAGTTTGTCTGTACTTCAGCCTACCTATCATTTTCTCCCTACATACACACACACACACACACACACACATTGTGGCTCCTGCTTATATGGAGTGAGGTTCAGGGCAGACTCCATTATGTCTTGTTTTAGGTGGGGTTCCCTAATTATCTCTTACACCTCTCTTGAATGAAGACAGAATTCATCTCCCTCTATTTCAATGAGGTGTTACAAATTAGACACATCGCAATTGCAAATGAAGCGGGGATTTAAATCCCCCCCCCCTTCATTTGCATAAAAATGGCTGCCGCTTTTTTCTGGCTTGGAGCTTTGCTGGAAAAAAGTGCCAGTCTAGATGCGGATCTTTCGGAAAATAAAGCCTTTTCCGAAAGATCCCTTATTCCTTATTTTAAGAGGAATAAGGGATCTTTTGGAAAAGGCTTTATTTTCTGAAAGATCTGTGTCTAGACTGGCACTTTTTTCCGGCAAAGCTCTGAGCCGGAAAAAAGCGGCAGCCATTTTTATGCAAATGAAGGGGGGGGGGATTTAAATCCCCGCTTCATTTGCAATTGCGATGTGTCTAATTTGCATTCCTTTTACGGAAAAGGGATGCAGTCTAGACACAGCCTAGCAGTTTTTATGAATGAAAAAGTAACTGTCACCAATGGACCTGAGCCAAACCCCCCAGATTCAAATACCTCAATCCCTGGGGAAGTGCAGATATGAACTTTGTAGTTTATGCCCATCTCTGGCAAATACATAATTGTTCATATCTTGTATGGTACTGGTAATTACTTTTGGACCCACTGAATTTAATTACTACTTATCTTTCTTAGTAAGAATCAGGGAAAGGTAAGGCTGGCAGTTATAGCAGAGGGCTGAATTTAAGAGGCTATTTCTTCCTTGCAGTCCTGAATTTTGGATCATGGTACAGCAGAGGCTAAGATGTTTGATGTGGGAATAGGAAAATTAGTTATGTGGCTTCAGAATAATCTTAAAAACTGCCAATCTCTTGTAAATCTTTATAACAAAAAGTCCCCCCTCCCAAAAAAACCCCCTTCATCAAGCAAAACAACCCCCCTGCCCCAAACAAACCACAAAATGGAACATTAAGCCAGATTTAGCCAGTCAGGCGAAGGCATAGCATGATCATAATACAATAATATTTCTTTGTATTTTACCATTTTCTTGATGTGAAAACTCATTTCCATCAACAGTACAGCGCCGAAACACCATCTTGTTCTCTGTTAGGGTCCCAGTTTTATCCGAGAAGATGTACTGAATTTGCCCCAGATCTTCAGTGATATTTAGAGCTCGGCACTGAATAGGCAAATCTACATCTTCATCATACAGGTCAATGTCATTATGAATTAAGAAAACTTGGGCCAGTTTTACCAACTCAATGGACACGTAGAGAGAAATGGGGATTAAAATCTGAAAAAAGAATGTTGTACAAGATGTTATAATCTCAGTGGTGGGTGTTTTTCTATCTGTACTTTTCACACTGGCAACCAAGACTTATGTCAGTGCAGTCATGACACTTTATGGAGAAGAAAAAATAACCAGTTCTTTCTGGAGTTTAAGTCTTTTTAACCCAGTGACAGGAAGATTTTCACTGTCCCTGTAATTCACAGGAAATGTATACGTCATGGTCACTCTCACACTGAAGTGCTTTGATCTCCATAATCATAGAATCATAGAACTGGAAGGGACTTTGAGAGATCATCAAGTCCAGTCCCCTGTCCTCACAGCAGGACCAAGCACTGTCTAGACCATCCCTGACAGATGTCTGTCTAACCTGCTCTTAAATATCTCCAGTGATGAAGATTCCACAATCCCCCTAGGCACTTTATTCCAGTGTTTAACCACCCTGACAGGCAGGAAGTTTTTCCTAATGTCCAACTTAAGCTTCCCTTGCTGCAATTTAAACCCACTGCTTCCTGTCCTATCATGAGAGGCCAAAGAGAACAATTTTTCTCCTGTCTCCTTGTAACACCCTTTTAGATACTTGAAAACTGCTACCACGTCTCCTCTCCATCTTCTCTTTTCTAAACTAAATAAGCCCAGTTCTTTCAGTCTGTTCTCTAGACCTTTAGTCATTCTTGTTGCTCTTCTCTGGACCTTCTCCAATTTCTCCACATCTTTCTTGAAATGTGGTGCCCAGAACTGGACACAATACTCCAACTGAGGCCTAATCAGCACAGAGAAGAGTGGAAGAACGACTGCTCGTATTTTGCTCACAACACTCCTATTAATGCATCCCAGAATCACGTTTGCCTTTTTTGCAACAAAGTCACACTGTTGACCCTTGTTTAACTAGTGGTCCACTATGACCCCTAAATCCCTTTGGGTATGTCTACACTACCCCGATAGTTCAAACTAGCGGGGTAATGTAGGCATACTGCACTTGCAAATGAAGCCCGGGATTTGAATTTCCCAGGCTTCATTTGCATAAGCGGGGAGCCGCCATTTTTAAAACCCCGCTGGTTCGAACCCCGTGCAGCGCAGCTACACGGGGCACGAACTAGGTAGTTCGAACTAGGCTTCCTAGTTCGAACTACCATTACTCCTCGTGAAATAGGGATGTGGAATAGGGATGCAGGATGGGGTGAGGAGGGCAAAGTCCAAAAGGGAGTGGCAGGTGGCAGGAGAGGGTGTGGGGTGGGGGTACAAGAGGGAGTTTGGGGGCAGAAGGAGGTTGGGGCAGTAACGTAGAAAAGGTGAGAGGGTGAGAATGCAGACGACTAATTAGCTGGGGAGGGAGGCAAAGAAATGGGGAGTAAATTGGGGGTGGGAGGGGATTGGGGAAGTAACACAGAAAAGGTGAGAGGGTGAGAATGCAGCCAAATAGCTAGGTTAGGAGGGAGGCAAAGTGGGGAGTAAAGGAAACTGCAGCTTCTGCAAAGTAAAATTATATCCCCCTCACATCTTTCCTCTGTTCCAGCCTTGCTTTCCTCAGCCCCATGATCTCCCCAAGCCTAATCCCCCTACATCGCCCCATGCCCCTCAGTGCAAGCCCTGCTCCCTCCCATCCCGCTGCTGCAGCCTGATGTCCTGCATCACCCCATGTCCTCTCCCATCCTGCCTCTGTATCGTCTTTCACTCCCACCTAATGCCAGCCCCCTGTGCCCTTAGCACACTCACTGGCAGGTCAAGAATGCTGGAGTGAGGAGAGGCTGGGGCAGAGGTGGGGACAGAGTCTCTTCCCTGCCCGGACCAGCCTGAAGGCTGCAGCTCTGGGTCTGGGGCAGGCAGAACCCAAGGCTGCCCAGGGCTGGCTCCAGCCCAGCTGGGTGCAGAGGAGTGCTGGGGAAGGAGCTTCTTGATCCTGCACATAGTCCATGGGAGCAGCCTGGTGCACCAGGTGTGTAGGCTGCCCAGCCCCAGCTCTGCAGAGTAGGCCCAGCCCCGCTCCTCCCCTCCCTCACCCATGCAAAAAGCCCGTAGCCGGAGGTGGGAGTGTTAACCCCTTAACTCCCAGGAGCAGCACTCCCAGGCGGGGCAGGGACAGCCCCAGGGATGTGCACATGCCTCTCTTGCTCCCCTCCCTCCCAGCAGAAAACAGGAACTAGTGCTCCAGCCTACAGCTGTGTTGCTGAGGCTGGAGCTGCAGCATGAGCTCCCGGATGCACGGGAGGGAGCGGCAGGGCTGAGCTCCCGCGCCTTGTGCCACGGGAAATTGGCATATGTGCCGGGGGTTGCCGATCGCTGCCCTGGGCATATCTTGCTCATTTTCCTAAAACAGGATGGATTAGCATGTTTTTCAACTCTTACCATAAATACATTTCACAAATAACTGCTTTGTTTACCACTTCTCCTGCTTCTGTCCCTCCCAAACTTTTCAATTCTCAAAATATACCAGTATTCAGTTTCAGAAATAAGGCACAGCTTCCTTAGGGATTCTACCAACAGCTCAAGATGTTGTCCTCATATTTTATTCATGCTAAACAAATTCTGTCTGTTCAAATCTCAGTGGCTATAATAATAAATGTGAAAAATAAATCCCCATCCCATAAAATGTTCTCAGTTAGGCTTAATCAGACTCAGATGTATGGTCTCCCAATTCTAATTTATCTTCCTTCTACACACCAGCATAGCCTTATCTAGTTATTATTCCCTGTTGGCAAAAACTACAATAACTTTTCTTCCACCGTTTCTTTGAGCTACTAAATAGAATTCTCATTCTGAATCAGGGGAAAAAACACTGAAATTTTAACATACTGATGGAATTGTCCTCCTTTGTTTGAATGTTATTAATACTGGAACTAGTTTAATGATATTACCATGTCCTTCATATCCATACACTGGGAAAGAGCGAAAAGAGTTAAATCTATGTCCTCAATGTCTATAATTGTGTGTCTATGTATATGTACATACTCATACGCACATTATATTAACTATGGGTTTTTGGATGTTGTAGTGTAGAACCTTATACCTTAAGAAGTTTTCAGAATAAAGAGAGTACTTCTATCTGACCTATAGTAACTTAGGGTATGTCTAAACTACAATGTTAATTCGAACTAACGTCTGTTAGTTCGAACTAACAGACGTTAGTTCGAATTAACTTCGATAGGCGCTACACAGGCAAACCGCTAGTTCGAACTTAATTCGAACTAGGTAAACCTCATTTTACGAGGACTAACGCCTAGTTCGAATTAACTTCGATAGGCGCTACACAGGCAAACCGCTAGTTCGAACTTAATTCGAACTAGGTAAACCTCATTTTACGAGGACTAACGCCTAGTTCGAATTAACTTCGATAGGCGCTACACAGGCAAACCGCTAGTTCGAACTTAATTCGAACTAGGTAAACCTCATTTTACGAGGACTAACGCCTAGTTCGAATTAACTTCGATAGGCGCTACACAGGCAAACCGCTAGTTCGAACTTAATTCGAACTAGGTAAACCTCATTTTACGAGGACTAACGCCTAGTTCGAATTAACTTCGATAGGCGCTACACAGGCAAACCGCTAGTTCGAACTTAATTCGAACTAGGTAAACCTCATTTTACGAGGACTAACGCCTAGTTCGAATTAACTTCGATAGGCGCTACACAGGCAAACCGCTAGTTCGAACTTAATTCGAACTAGGTAAACCTCATTTTACGAGGACTAACGCCTAGTTCGAATTAACTTCGATAGGCGCTACACAGGCAAACCGCTAGTTCGAACTTAATTCGAACTAGGTAAACCTCATTTTACGAGGACTAACGCCTAGTTCGAATTAACTTCGATAGGCGCTACACAGGCAAACCGCTAGTTCGAACTTAATTCGAACTAGGTAAACCTCATTTTACGAGGACTAACGCCTAGTTCGAATTAACTTCGATAGGCGCTACACAGGCAAACCGCTAGTTCGAACTTAATTCGAACTAGGTAAACCTCATTTTACGAGGACTAACGCCTAGTTCGAATTAACTTCGATAGGCGCTACACAGGCAAACCGCTAGTTCGAACTTAATTCGAACTAGGTAAACCTCATTTTACGAGGACTAACGCCTAGTTCGAATTAACTTCGATAGGCGCTACACAGGCAAACCGCTAGTTCGAACTTAATTCGAACTAGGTAAACCTCATTTTACGAGGACTAACGCCTAGTTCGAATTAACTAATTCAAACTAAGTTAGTTCGATTTAGTGCTGCAGTGTAGACATACCCTTATTCTCTACCAGGTGATTTTTTACTTACAAATACAAAAAAACTGTTATCACTTAAATAAATATTCTACAATAATGGTCCAAAAGTAGTGTAACTACTTTACAATAGTATTTTGGACCATTTCTATAAAATACCGTACTATTTTTACGAAAAGTTTTACAAATAAATTCAACCATCAAGAGGCTGTAATTGATTGGCAGCCATTACATCTCCCTTTCCAAAGCTACAGATTCTTAAAATTTGTATTTTACCTGCAACAGGATTATCATTGTCAAGAACATGCAGAAACCAGCAAGAGCAGAAGAAAGGTAGTTGCCATTCACTTCTGGGATTTCATATGGTGGGTGTTCTGAAAAGTTCCCATTCCAAATGACATGACCTATATAGAATCAACACTGTTTTAGTGGAATAAGTTGAGTAATATAGTCATGGGGCAAGAGTTCTGGAATATGTACCTTCTATTTCTTACACTCTTGTTAAAAAGAAAAAAAGTCACAGCCATGTCCCCAAGCAATACTGTAATTTGACTGTAACCTGGGCCATTAATGAAGAACACCACACCATATTTTTATAAAGTTTGTATTTGTAGCAAACTTGAAGGGTGAGGACTCTTAGGCTACGTCTAGACTACAAGCATCTTTCAAAAGAGGCTTTTTTGAAAGATACTTTTTAAAAAAGCTTCTTTTGAAAAAGAGCATCTAGACTACAACCAGTACTTTCAAAAAAGCAAGCCACTTTTTCGAAAGAGAGCACCCAGGCAGTCTGGATGCTCTCTTTCGAAAAAGCACAGTTTGCATTCCATAGTGCCTTTTTTCAAAAGAGCGCTTTTGAAAAAAGGTATTATTCTTCGTAAAGAAAGATGTTTTGTTCAAGGCTTTATTGCTACTGCCATGATTACTTCAGCATCTTTCTTTCTGGACTCTCATATATGCAAGTTGCTTGAGAATGCTAGCTTAACACCACATACTGCATTTCAATACAGAACTAGTGTTGTTCGATACTGTATAGGAAGTCTGCAGGAACACAAGGTTCCCCTACACTGTCTCTAGCTCCAGACCTTATATAAAAAGCAAATTCTCTACTACTTCACTCTTCTAGCCTTTATCTTGGCCTCTTTCTTGCAGATGTATTTGTCTCATCTCAAAAAAGATATCTCGGCATTGGAAAAGGGTGACAAAAATTTATTAGGGGTATGGAATGGCTGCTGCATTAGGAGACATTAATAAGACTTGGACTTTTCAGGTTGAAAAAGAGACAAATAAGGGGATAAATGATAACGGTCTATAAAATTGTGACTGGTGTAGAGAAAGTGAATAAAGAGGAATTATTTACTCCTTCCCATAACACAAGAACTAGGGATCAGCAAATGAAATTAATAGGCAGTAGGTATAAAACAAAAGGAAGTTTTTCTTCATGCAGCGCACAGTCTACCTGTGGAACACCTTGCCAGAGGATGTTATGAAGTCTAGGACTTTAACAGGGTTCAAAAAAGAGCTAAATAAATTAATGGAGGTTAGGTCCATCAGTGGCTATAAGCCAAGATGGGTAGAAATGGTACCCCTACCCTCTGTTTCTCAGAAGCTGGGAATGGGCAAAGGGGATGGATTACTTGATGGGTACGTCTAGACTACATGCCTCTGGCGACAGGGGCATGTAGATTAGGCTACCCGACAGAGTAAAATGAAGCGGCGATTTAAATAATCGCCGCTTCATTTACATTTACATGGCTGCCGCGTTGAGCCGACAAACAGCTGATCAGGCATACCTGGGTTGTCGACAGCTCCCTTTGATGTCGGCAGGGGAGCGTCCAGACTATCGCGCTGAGCCGACAAACAGCTGATCAGCTGTTTGTCGGCTCAACGCGG